GGAGTGGGAGAGGACAAGCAACATGTCAGGAGGGGTGCGTGGGAGTATTATTTGTCTGAGAGACAAGATTCTGGACAAATATAATTACAAAAATGACAAGCCATCTTGGCTAGGGATAAGTACCCCAGTTTCACTGCAAAAAGAGTCTGAGAGTAGGCTATTGTTCAAACAGTTGACCCCTATACAATTATACGCATCAATGTCCAAGGTGTATGGTTGCAGTCACTTACAATGTGCACCTTGACTGTCCAAGGTGTATGGTTGCAATCACTTACAATGTGCACCTTGACTGTCCAAATATAAGGGTCTTATAGAGTAGGTCATTCTGGCTGGAAGGGAGAAAAAGATAGGGATGAGAGGGGCCAGGGAAAGTACAGGGGAGGGGTCAGAAGAGGATTCCTTATCTGGTATACAGGAACCTAGAAAAATACATACATGCATATGACAGGACCCAAAGAGAGGCTTTAGGGATCAGCACCCCTGCTATACCAAAAAAAGGGGTCTGAGAGTTGAACCCTATTCAAACAGATGACTCCTTTACAATAATTTACATTAATGTCCAAGGTGCATGGTCATAGTCACTTAATATTGTGCACCTTGACCATCCAAAAGTAAGGGTCTTATGGAGTGGGCACTTCTTGCTGGTAGAGAGGAAGATAGGCATGGGAGGGGACAGGGAAAGTGTAAAGGAGAGGTCAGGGGAGGAGTTCCTGTTCGGTAGACAGAAACCTGAAAAAATATAATCATGCCTAAAACAGGCTCGAAAAGTGGCCTTAGGTATCAGCACCCGGATATATCACAAAAGGGGTCTGAGAGTCAGATCTTATGAAAAGAGGACTCCTGTACAATAACGTACACTAATGCCCACAGTGTACAGTTCTAGTCACTTAAAAGTTGTATACCTTGATTGTCCAAAAGTAAGGGTCTTATGGAATGGGCACTTCTTTCTGGTAGGGAGAAATATGAGCATGAGAGGGGCCAGGGGAAGTGCAGGAGAGAGACCAAGGGAGAATTCCTTATCTGGTAGACAGGAACCTGGATGAATATAATCATGTATATAACAGGACATGAAAAGAGGCCTTAGGGATCAACTCCCCTGATATCCACAAAAGGGGTCTGAGAGTCAAATCTTATTTAAGTGGATGACTTCTGTACAATAATGTGCATTAATATCCAAGGTGCACAGTTGTGGTCATTTAAAATTGTGCACCTTGACTTCATAAAAGTAAGGGTCTTATGGAGTGGGCACTTCTTGCTGGTAGAGAGAGGAAAGTGGCAGAGAGAAGGGACAGGGGAAGTGTAAGGGAAGGGTCAAGGGAGGATTCCTTGTCTGGTAAACAGGAACCTCCACAAATATAATCATGCATGTAACAGGGCACAAAAAAAAGGCCTTAGGGATCAGTACCCCTGACATACCATTAAAGGGGTCTGACAGTCAGACCTTATTCAAATGGATGACTTCTGTACAATAATGTGCATTAATGTCCAAGGAGCACAGCTGTAGTCATTTCAAATTGTGCACCTCGACTTCACAAAATTAAGGGTCTTATGGAGTGGACACTTCTTGCTGGTAGGGAGAGGAAGATGGGCATGGGAGGGATCAGGCTAAGTGTAATGGAAGGGTGAGGGGAGGATTCCTTGTGAGGCAGATAGGAGCCTGGACAAATAACAGGCCACCAAAATAGGCTTTAAGGAATCAACACTCTTGCTATACCACAAAAGAGGTCTAAGAGTTGGATTTTATTCAAATAGAGGACTCCTGTACAATAATGTACATTAATGTCCAAGGTGCATGATTGTAGTCACTTAAAAATGTGCACCTTGACTGTCCATAATAATGGGTCTAATGGAGTGGGCACCTCCTGCTGGTAGGGAAAAGGCATGTAACAGGAAACAAAGAGAGGGCTTAGGTATCAGCACCCCTGATACACCACAAAAGGGGTCTGAGAGTCTGATCTTAGTCAAATGGATGACCCCTGTACAATTATACACATTATTATCAAAGGTGAATATTTGTGGTCATTTACAATTGTGCACTTTGTCCAAATACATGGGTCTTACGGAGTGGGCACTTTTTGCTGGTAGGGAGAAGATTGAAGGGAGAGGGGACAGGCCAAGTGTAATGGAAGGGTCAGGGGAGGATTCCTTGTGAGGCAGATAGGAGCCTGGACAAATAACAGGCCACCAAAATAGGCTTTAAGGAATCAACACTCTTGCTATACCACAAAAGAGGTCTAAGAGTTGGATTTTATTCAAATAGAGGACTCCTGTACAATAATGTACATTAATGTCCAAGGTGCATGATGGTAGTCACTTAAAAATGTGCACCTTGACTGTCCATAATAATGGGTCTAATGGAGTGGGCACCTCCTGCTGGTAGGGACAGAAAGATGGGGTTGGCGGGGTCCGGGGGAG